TGTCATTGCACTGTCACAGGTACAGATCAACGAAATGAACTCTGCATTTAACCCATCCCTCTGGGGGAGCAGTGGCTGCCATTGTGCAGCGCCCGCGGAGCAGCGTGTGTCATGATCTGGCCTGTTTGCTCCCCCTTAATTGGTTATTTCTTTCACCTGTTGTTTTCCTTCCCTTCCTCAATTATCATTTATTCCTCTGACCTGTTTCCTTTGGTTTATATTCTATCCAGCCTGAGCATTCGGGGCCAGATCATTATTTGTTTTTCTGTTAGTCTGTCCACTTCTGTTCATTTGATGCCATGGTTCATGTCCTGGATCCTAGCAGCCAGTGGAAGGAGGGTTTTTGTGTTTGTCTCGTCTCCTGTCTGTCCACTGTTCCTCCCCCGCTGAGTCCTCTGGGTTTTTGGCTCTATATGCGGGGAGGTTCAGTTTTTAACCAAGTAAGCCTGGCTCCACGGAGGAGACCAGTTTAAAGTCCTGCATAAAGTTCTGGTTCCACGTCCTGTCTCTGCTACCCTCTGCCACTGAGCCTGCCCGTCTGCACCTGATCCTGTCTGCTCCTGTGCGTGACCGCCTGGTCACGCTTCTGGACCCTGTTAGACTCTGAACCTGCCTGGGAGCCTGTGGATGCCTGGAAGTCTGGATTCTGCCACCTGTCTGTTTGTGCCTGATCTGGATCCTGTTTTGTCCGTTCTGTTGTTTTTGGCTGTGGATTCAAATAGGTCCATCCTTTGGCGGCGTGTTGCCTAGCAACTGTGCCAGTTGACAAACAAAGCAGAAAAAGAATGAATACCGAACTTTTCAAAACTCTTTTTAAAGATTTTCTTTTTCTATTTTCTTATTGTAAAATGAACAAACACTACACTCATGAGAATTCAGAGTGGAATTTGTGCCAACCACCAGGAGCATGAACAAATTAAAGCAAATGTAATGATAGAAACCTTAGTCAGTTAAATAAATTCTTTACTATCAGGAAGTCCACAAACTAGTTAAAAGCCTTCAGCTGATCCGAAATGCTGCAGCCAGAGTTCTGATGAAAATGAAAAAGAGAGATCATATCTCTGCTATCCTGGCTTCTCTTCATTGGCTTCCTGTTAAATCCAGAATAGAATTTAAAATCCTTTAAATATATCAGAGATCTGAATCGCATCACTGGAAAATTGGTCCGAAAAGGGGAAAAAATCTTACAGTGTATGACCGGCTTAAAGAGATAAACGGGTATTGACTATGGGTATGCTGGTCTGACCAGGTATGCTCATCTGACAGAGTCCTGCAGAATCCCGTCTGCCAGCCTGTCAACCATACAGGAGGCCTTTAGTCTCCAGGAAGGCATTACACAGCTCCCACCTCAGGTTTCGCCTTTTGAGGATCTGGAGAAAGATTGCTCGGCATTTTCAGCGTCACCAAGATGTTAGAGGTCCGTTGGACTTTCTTCACACATTGAAAACCCACCAACCGGCAGATGGCAGCCACATTTACCTGTGTAGGACGTTAACAGATTGGCGCCGCATTTTGTGGCACACATTTCCTTTCAAAGCTGCTGTTCAATGGGTTTTCTTTTTTAAATAATAATGCATTGTGTCACTGATCAAAGAGTTCAAACTTTCCAAAGTAAAGCACTCTGCCAGCCTGCACAGTGCAATCAACGTGCTCACCACAGGGGGGCGCTCTAATCAGATTCAGGGATTGAAGTTCTGCACACCGGAAAGGAAGAGGTCTCTCTGCTATTGGTTTGAGCACATGTGCCTCTCTGTTCTGCATGAACAAATTCACCCAAACATCCGTTTCAGGTGAAGGAAACCACATTAAAACCTTCAAAATAAAACTGGTGGTAGAGTCCAAATGGGTTAAAAGCATTTACTTTTGAACTGATAATGATAATATAATAATTTCTATTTAAGCATTCAATTACTTAAGTAGAAATATTGGCTATCTATACTTCAGTGCAGTCATTTTTTTAAACAACTTTTTACTTCTACTCCTTAAATTTTAAAAATAGACTTATTAGTTTTGTTTCATTTGAGCTCATTTTCGTTATGGGCTGTTGGTATTTTTAAAAAACAAACAAGCAAATATAAAAATTGTTTGTTTAATCCAGAAAATGCATTTTTCAGTGGTTGGACTCGGTGCTGCCCGTAAGTCTAAGGAAGTTATCATCCAGATCTGTAGAAAAAGTTTCCTGTAATAAGGTAGAGCAGTAAAGCTTTTGTCAGTTTTACCTGTTTTATTTTTATACGTTAAGTAGTTTTAAAAAATGGTTCCAGAGTTTCATATATACATGTATAATAAGAGCAGTATTTTGTTAAAGGTTTTAGTTATAACAGTGCTTATGTTATCACTGTGTTTTGTTGTTAGGATCTTATGCCTTTAGCAGCGTTAATAATTCTTCTTTTATTCTGAAAGTGCGAACAGGAAGTCGCGTGGTTGACCGCTATCACAGCCGGATGTATTCCTCGTGGACTGAACTTCTCCTCAGGCAGCAATACTTTTAAACTTATTCTTTTAATCAGGGCCAGTGTTGCCATAGTTACCGTGATATCTCGGTGTTTCCTGGGGGCTCGTGCTTCTTTAAACACTCCGCCGCGTGAGTTTCAAACCGCGCCGTTAGCCTGTTAGCTGCTGGAGCTAAGTTTGGATGCTGGCATAGAAACAGGTTGGTTTCCTGTTTACTCTCTGTTAGGTTAGCTGCTCTCTGGCTGCTAACAGTTAAAGTTATTCACATGCTTCAGATCGGGAGCTTGTCTGCATCAAATTCTCAGTTTATTTGTATAATATGATGCGTTCATGAGCCTCTAAATGCCTCTTTCTGTGATTCAGAGTGACGTCATCTATCTGGAACCCTCCTCAGATGGACAGCAGCTCATCACCACAGGAGGATGAGAAACGCAGCTCTGCGCCTCCTCCAGAGGTGATGGATGTGACCGTCCCTGAAACACCACCTCAGCCAGAGGAAACCAGCTGTCTCACCGAGGAGGCAAACACTGCACATCCACCACAGATGGATCACCATGGCGTGGCGTCCATAAAGGAGGAGATGGAGGTCACCATGGTGACGCAGGATGATGCCACAGCAGCGAACAGTGGAACCCGGGCAGAGGGCATGGCAGCAGCAGCAGGGGGAGACCCTGAGGCCGTCCCCTTGGATCCGGACTCAGATGATTCCGACAGGTGTTCACACTCACCGCACTGCTCATACCTGTTAACACCTTCTCACTGTTCACATCTGTTCACACCTGCTCACTATTCACACCTGC